CAGAATAATATTCATTTTTTAAGAGATTGAAAAAGAGCTCAAAATATTCATTCTTTAAGTAGAAATATATATTTTAAATAATTAAGTGATTAATTGAATCAGAATCTGCAGCAGTTTTAACAGAACTTGATAAGATAGCTGACTCTAATTCATCTTATGTAAGATCAGATCATTCTCAGTTATTGTCATTAATATAGTTGAGAAGTAATATATTCTTTTTCTCTTTCTCTGAATCTGAATCTGATGAGTTCTGAAAGAGAATTCTTATAAAAGCTTGACATTTTTTCTCAAAAGAGTTTGCTATATATAATTCATTCTGAACCTCATATTCTAAGACTGGAAGTTTTGCTACACTTCTTGTTTTAGTATAGTTAAAAGCTTTAAAAACTTTCTTTTCTTATGCTTCTTCAAGGAATTTATTTCAGCAGTCTGTTTTAGCTCTTTTAATATCTGAGAAGTATTCATTTCTGACAGCTTTGAACACTTTATTAGATATTATATCATTCTTTTAATCTCTTCTAGCAGTAGATAATTCTTTTCTTTTAGATGAGATATTCTCATTTCATCAAGATTTTGAATACTCAGAAGATTTTCTCTTTGAAATATTATCTCTAACACTTATTAGAATAATAGATGTAATAAGCTTCACTCTATTCTTAAGCATTTCATTTAAGATATCTTGATCAGAATTTCAATATAGCTTATTCTATCTTTCAGATTTTAACAGTTTTATACTTTCTTCAACTACTTTTCAATCAGCTTTTTCAAAGTTATACTGATTAGAGAGAAGAGGATTTTCACTCATTTATTTTTCACTCAGTTCAATATTAAATTGAATAATCTCATAATCTGATTCTGATGTCTTATTTAAATTAATAAATCAGTTTATAAGTCTTCTTTTTATTAGATTTAATAATATAAAGATTAGATCTATAATAGCTTCTCTTTCATATCTTTTCTAAAGAATGTTTATTGATCAGACTTATTAATTAAATCTATTGAATACTCAAAGATTCATTTAATCAGATTATCAGCTCTCACTACTCTCTTACATTCTGAATTTCATCAGAGATGATATTTATTGAAATCTTCTGCAATTATAGAGTTTCTTGATAAAGTTATGTTCAGAAATTCTTCATCAATTATTCAGATATTATTATTTTTCTTCAATGACTTTTCATTATAGATATTTATAAGCTGTATAGTATTAAACTCATTTTCTTTATCTATAATATCACTCATCAGAATATCAGAGTCAGATATGATATTAAATCTTAGATTAAATTAATATCTTGATCTCTTTCTTTCATAGATCACTACTCTTGACTTTATCTCAAACTTTTGAGATAGAAAGCAGTAGTAGCTTGAATGAGAAAGAATGTAATTTTACTCAGTATTAAAATTCAGTTTCTGAAGTAGTACAAAATTAACTTTTTATTCAAATATAATTTGAAGACAAGAATAAATACAATTTGAGTTTCTATTCACATTATTTTGAATAAATGTGATTTTTAAAGAGTTTTTAAACTTTTTTTGTTGTTTTTGTTGTATATTCATACTAAAAGAGAGTAGAGATAGAGTAGAATCTAGTCACTATCATCAGATAGTAGATTATAACTATTTTGAAAAGTAGGGATCTCAACTGCTTGCATTATATCTAGTTTATTATCAGAGTCATTTCTCAATTCTCTAATCTTAACAGAAGTTTGAGAATTCAAATTCTGTCTATATTTAGCTGAAGAATTGAAGTTTGAAGATTTAAATAGTTAAGAGTTTCTTCTTTTTAAGCTTGCAGTTATAAGTCTACTGACTTGACTCTTCTCTTCAATTCTAGATTGACTTTGAGCTTCATCTTTTCTCCAGTTCTTTTGAGTTCTAGAAGTAAATATACATTCTTTTGAGCTAGATGCATGTTTTTCTTTGCAATTAGAGCACTTAAGCAGAGTATATTGATAAATTTCATCTCTTTTTAAGTATGTTTTATATTTATACTCACTAGTTTTATGATCTCTGACACAGAATGCATATTTTGAGTCTCTAAAATATGAGATTATAAAGTGTCTATATCTTTGACAGTTTGAATACTGTGTTTGAGCTTTGAGATTCATTCTTGAGTCTTTGTATTCATGAACTCTCATTTTTAAACCTGCTACTCTTACTTCAGAGATCTTTGACTATTCAAGTGTTTTTATATATACTAGAACAGAGACATTTCTCCTGCTTTGTCTGAACTTAATTGAATTTAGTTATACAGACTTCTTTCTCAGTTGAATAGAGTTGTATTCTTTCAATTCATTTTTAAGAAGTAGCATTTCTTCTTCACAGTCAAAAATTTCAACTGAAATATTATAAAGAATGAATTTATCTCACTTTTCATCTCTTTCAGATAGAATTATTATATTTAACAAAGATTCTACTGCTGACTTTCAGAGATTCTCATTCTGAATAAGAAATTCAGCACTGAATTCAGACATTGTAGTCAGAATAATGAAGTTTTCAAAGAATAATAACTCAATTGAAGCTATAACTGGTTTTTGAACTTCAATATCAGTCATCAACTAAGAAAAGAACTGCTGATTAATTTCATTTTTAATTCTGAAAATAAGATTTAAGTTTAGCTTGTTTCTTTACAGAATATTCTGATTTGAGACTTTGAGAATAAGTCTTCTATTTCTGAAGATTTGAAAGTTTTTCTCTTTTTATATTTTCTTTTTCACTTTTCTATAAATAGAGACATGAGCAGTATTCTTCTCAGTTTTCTCAGAATTTTAAGCAGATTTTGAGACAGCAGATTTAGAGACAGCAGATTCAGCTGCTTAAGCATATATTTTCTTCTGATTTAAAGAAGAAGAAGAAGTAGAAAAAAAGAAAGAAGAAGAGTAAGATAAAGAGTCAGTGATTGTACTAGAAATTTTCAATGTTTTTTAAACTGTGTTTAAGATTCTAAGTTTGAACTTGATCATCTTCTATAGTTGTCTAGTCTGAGTATGAAGAATTAACAGCACTTCTTCATTCATCTCACTCAGACACTGCTTTTCAAGAATCTTGCTTACTTTTTCAAGTTTCTGTATTTCAAGAACTTGTTATTTCTCTATTTCTTCTTTCTTTCTTATCTTTAGAATTTCAATCTCAGAAGTAGTATTTGAGAAAGCATCTTTTTTCATATTAACTGAGTGTATTTTTGAACTCATTGTTTTCACTCAATGAAAAGTTGATCAGACTATTTCAATTGAGATATTTCTAAGTCTGTTTTCAATTGAAAAGTTAATCAGACTGTTTCAAAAGAAGAATAAAAGACTTTTATGTATAAAACATCTGATTTTTTTCACACTAGCTCAGTAACTAGATTAGATTTTTGAAGAGAATCTAATAAACTAAAATTAATTTTTGAGATAAATCAATAAAATCTTTACAATCTCTTTCTTGAGATACAGTGAGGAAAAGTATGATATCAATTGATAATAAATCAGACAATATGACAGTTTTTGAGAGAAAAACTGACAAAAAATAAATCAATTTTTTGCAGAGAAATTGATTAAAACTATTCAATTTTATTCTAAATTATTCAATTCTTCTCACACAACAAGTGTGCAACTCAAATCAGTTAATAAAGAGTGTAAAAAAGAATTAAGTATTAACAAGCATCAAATGCTCGCTTACGCTCGCTTTTCTGCTTGCGCAGCCCTCTCTACCACTTTCACCCTTCCTCTCAATCACTCCCTACTCCCCCTTTACCACCCCTTCCACCCCTTACCCTCTACCCTCTCTACGACCACCACCACCTCTACCGCCCCTATCACCCTCTCCCTCTACCATCCTCTTTCACTCTGTACCACCCCGTATCACGTCTACCACCTCTTACCCTTCACCCTCTCTATCATCACCATCACCTCTACCACCCCTATCACTTCTACCACCTCTACCACCACCCCCTCTACCGCCTCTATCACCCTCTCCTCCTACCATTCTCTTCCACTCTGTATCACCCCGTATCACCTCTACCACCTCTTACTCTTCACCCCCTCTATCACCATCATCACCTCTACCATCTCTACCAGCTCTATCACCTCTACCACTTCTATCACCTCTTACCCTCTACCTCCTCTACCACCACCATCACCTCTACCACCTCTACCACTTCTATCACCCCTACCACCCCTACCAACCCTATCACCTCTACCACCTCTACCACCTCTACCACCCCTATCACCTCTATCATCACCCTCTCTACCGCCTCTACCACCCTCTCTCCCTACCACTCTCTTTCACTCCGTATCACTCTGTATCATCTCTATCACCCCTTCTACCCCTTCCATCTCTTACTCTCCAACCCCTCTACCATCATCACCGTCTCTACCGCCTCGCCGCCTCTCTATCACTTCCACCCTCCTCTCAAACCACCCTCTACCCCTCTCTTACCACCCCTTACCACCTCTTTCACCCCTTTCACCCTCTACTCCCTCTACCACCACCACCGCCTCTACCGCCCCGCAATCCCCCTCTATTATCATCATGATCTCTATCACCTCATAACCTTCTTTATCACTTTCATTCTCTATCTCTACTCACTGTTATCACTCTTTTCATCTCTTTCACTCTCTACCTTCTCATTATCATCATTATTATCATCTCTACTTCTTCTACTACTTTCTTTCACTCTGTATCATCTCTATCATCATTATCAGATTAATCAGAGCTGTACAGACTGCAGAGTCAGCTATTCAATCTCATTCATAAATTCAAAGAGATGTATATGACATTATATGAGATTTTATTACAGAGTATTTAGCAGTATATACTATAAACACAGAGATCAAAATATGATAGAGATAGTAAGAGAGAAGTAGAGATAGTGAAAGTGATAGAAGAGACTGTAGAGTAGTGAAGATAATGATAATAATAGAGAGGCTAGAGAGTGAAAAAGATGATAGAGAGAAGTGATAGAGGTGATAGAAATGAGAAAGATGATAGAGATAGTAAGAGAGGAATAGAATGATAAGATGAGAGTAGAGATAGAGAGTGAAAGTGATAGAGAGTGCTGTGAGACGGTAGAGACAGTGATGATGATAGAGGTAATAGAGGTGATAGAGATGGTAAGAGGTGATAAGAAGTGATAAGAGGGAATCAGAGTGAAAGAAGTGTAGAGGTGATAGAGATAATAGAGATGGTAAGAGAGTGAGTGGTAAGATGGGGGTAGAGTAGAGATATAGAGTGAAAGTGATAGAGGGAGCTGTGAAGTGATAGAGGCAGTGATGATAAAGATGATAGAGGTGATAGAGGTGGTAGAAGTGATAGAGGTGATAGAAGTGGTAAAGATGGTAGAAGTGGTAGGGGTGGTAAGAGTGAGTGATAAGATGGAGGGAGGAGTATGAAGTGGAAGTAATAGAAGGTGCTACGGGGCGTTAGAGGCGGTGGTGATGATAGAGGGTTAGATAGAGTGATGCAATTGGCAGGCGCCACTACGTATCCATGGATTTTTGATGGGGTGCACGTGACGTCACGTGAGGTCACGTTACAGCGTTTTTTGCACGGAAAAGTTGGTTTTTCTTTAATATATAGAGAGATGAAAGCTCTTCAGTCACTGAAAAAGTAATTCTTACTTAAAAGAATATGAAATTATGACAGAAAACAGCTCTGTTTTTAATTCTTTGTAAGAATATTGTATAAAATTCAAAGAAAAACACCTTACTTTTTCAAGAGAAGTAAAAAACTATTTCTAAGATCTTTTTTTCATGCATTGACTGCTGCAGAAGAATGAGATAGAAACTGCTAAGATATGTACTACTGTATACTCTCTATCAAGACTTTCTCTCTTCAGAGTCTTGATATTATAGAGAATATAAGTCTGTTTCTATATAATAATATAAATATTGTCAGTGAGATGTAGAGGAACTGGTTATTTATATCTCAAAATAGAAGACTTTATCAATGATTATATCAATATAGAGTTAATTCTTAAATTCAATAGAAATCTAGTGTTGCTGTTCTCAATCTCTTGCAGAATCTATTGAATATTAAGATATTAAAACTAGATTTAATATATCTCACTGTGCAGGGATCAAAGGCTCAGTCAGACCTTGAGGTATACTGATTTTATAGTTATTGATGTGCTGTTGACTTGTTGTTCATTGATTATGTGCTTGATATTATCACCAAGGTATCTTTTTGTATTTTTCTGCCGGGGGTGGGCCAGATTGGGAAGGGCGGTACGAGGGTGGGACTTGGCGTTGGTGTTTTGGAACATCAAAGATGGACAGGGTTTTCGCGGAGGTCGCTCCTCAGATATCTCCACAACTACAGATTGGGGATCTTCCAAAATCGAGAAGATTGGTGCATACGGCTAGGTCTCTTCACCTTACAATTTGTATGGCAATTTGGCCCGGGGTTGTGGTGTGGTAGGGGAGAATGGGGGATAATCCCACACAGGAGTTCCGAACGACGTCTGGTTCACGTTTGGCTGGATAACTCCACCACCACACGGGGTATGCGGTCGGCGATGGGGTCAAAATGCTCGTATGATCGAGGGCTTTTCGATGGATCTATCGGCGGGTTCTTATTCGAAAAATCGAGTGAGTTCGTGGTGGAGCGGTTGGTTATTGATGACTGAGATGATAAGTGTCTTATGAAAGTAGTAGAAGAGATGCTTTCAAACTTCAAGCTGAAGAAATTAAAAAATAATATTATGCTTTATCATGATCTAGAATATATGAAAGCTCTCTATCTAGAACATTCATTTAGACATGACTTGGTGACTTGTATGTATATGGAATTCAGTCACTTAGAAAGCTCTGAACTCATGAGTGTACTTAAATCAAGAGTGTACTGATTAAGCATGACTGAGAACATTCAGACATACACTCACAAGTATCTGAATTGTCAGGTCATGAAAGAATCTAAGACAGAATTAGAATGTGAGAAAGTACAATATCAGATGAAATGTATAATACAACTGTTTAAACAATGAGAGATGAATCTCATAGACATATTACTGTGAACATTAAATAGAAATTGTTGAATAATCACTGCTATTAACTATGCTACTGACTGATCAGTTGTGAAAGCAGTTTCAGAGATGATAGAGAAGATAATGATGAAGTTTCTATATAATGAGATCTATGTCAACTATGAAATACTGTGTGAGATTCTAACTGATAATGATGTAAATCTTGTAGAAGAAGCAGTGAGGCATTTTATGAGCTAGTTATAGACAAGATATTGTAGAACAATGTCATATCATCTGTAAATAAATGAAAAAGTGAAATACTTGAATGAAATCTTGAGTAACATGCTGATGAAATATCTAGTGAGTAAGTCTATAAGACTATGAGATGAATATCTCGAACAGATGCTATTAGTAGACTTGCCGCTGAGATTATAAATTTCATATTTGATCTCATTTGATCTGATCTCATACATTTCTTGATGTGAATCCCGCTGGGACTAGTCATTAAAAAAACATGCAAAGTGAGTATATATAAGATCTTAAAATGAAATCATGACTTGAAAAAAATGAGAAAGTGATCTCATTTGATCTCATTTAGTCTCATTCTTAGCATAAAGTTACTATTTTTAGACATTTTAAGGTTTTTTTCAGACTATTTTTAATTTTTTAAAAAGTAACACTTTTTGATAACACTCAAAGAAGATTTAAAGTCATTTAAAGTAATAAAAATAATTTAAATTGACAAGTAAAAATCATGATCTCATTTGAAAAATGTGATAAGAGTAGACAGTAAGTCTCACTGAGACAGTATGAGACTACTATCTAATGTTAAAACCGTGTAATGAGATCGGTCGAATTGATAATGAGACTATCAAAAAATCTGGTTCTGGTCTCAGACACGGTCACACGGTCAGTCTAGCTATTAGCCACGCGGATTTGACAGTATACAGTCTTCAAGTGTTCACTATTTTATCTGTTGTATGGATTGCATCCGCGCATTCTGAAGAATGCTTTGAAAAAGGTGAGAGAGGGAACAGTAGTTGCAGATGCATCAGTTGTAAATACAGTAGAAACAATAGTTGCAGATGCAACAGTTGTAGACACAGCAGTTGCAGACACACAATCAAGATTGAAAGAGATCAGTTATACATGTGTAAAAGCTAAGAAGTTACTTCTGAATCAAGCAATTCAATCAAAAAGAACACAAGACTCACTAGTTAAGAAATCAAGTCTCAAGATGAAAATATGAGTTCTTGTATGTAATGAGGGTTCTGAGAAGTTTCAATCTAGATGATTTAAGCTCTATAAAATACTCAAATCACATTCTCTGAAAACATACCCATTGAAAGAATCAGAGAGATAAGTCTTATACAACTTAATAAATAATTCACATTTTATGAAGATAAATATGTAAGATCTGAGTAAATTATGATTATCTACAGCACTATTATCAGTGTTGAAAAAGAAGAGACTTATAATTAAAAAGTCTTATGAAGTAAGAGAAATCATAGATGCTTATAAATCAGATAATCTTACTTATTTCAATCTTTTCATAATTATAAGAAAAGAATAAGAAGCAATAAAGAAATCAGATAAATGTCATACTTTAATAAGTGATAAGACTGTAGCTGATCATATGATAATGCACTGTAGATAGCAGATGTAACACAGTAAAGAGCAGTCTCAAAGTGACAGACTTGTATATGAGTCAGATTGCAGAAGAAAGAGAGATTCAGAGTTGAATTCAACTGTTTATATCAGTTTAAATATAAAGATAACAGAGAATGAATTATCTGAAACATCTGCAGATATATGAGAATAAGTCATCTCAATCTCTGAGAATACTCAGAGATTGAGTGAGATTAGTTTCAATGAGCTGTTTACTGTAGTTTATTATTATTATTATTCTTCAATTATAGATGTATGCAGTCAGAGACTATGACATCTACCTGAGAACTTTTAGTTCTCAGGGTTTTTCCTATATCTGTAAAGTTTACTATTATACATTCATCAATTTCAGATATGCAAAATCAGAAAATTCCAGCCCAGAATACAAAAACTGTTTACAAATTGCAGTGTTTTAACATCTTCTGATACTTTGAAACCATTTGACAATATCATGACAAAGGAAAAGAGAACACAGTCTTAAAGATAGACACATTAAATAGATAGACAGAAAGAAATTGAAAGAGAAAGATAAAGTAAAGAAAGACTGTAACAAAACAAATTATTAAAAGATAGTATATAGCTGTTTTAACAGACTATATCTGATTGATTTCCTCCTCTTCATATTCAGATAATTCTGAATTTAGTCATTTTCTTGTAGCTGCTTGAGTTTCTAATAGAAAATCTATTAAATATTTAATTCCTGTCTTAGTTGAGAACAAGAATCTCATATTTAATTGATTTAGATCATACTTCTCTTTCAATCTGACTCTGAGACTATTGTATAACACACAGTGCATTACAATATGCTCAGGATTCTCATTTGCATTGCAGAATGAGCATTCTATTAAGTCAAATCTATCATCAAATCTTTGTATATAAGATTTGAAATAGCCATGTCCTAGTTTCAGCTGTATTATAGATGAGAATATTTTCTTTTTACATTTAATTGAACAAGATTTTCACTTGAGTTTTATTTCAAATCTTGAATAATGTATACTCTTCTTTTGTTTCTGCCAGCTTTCATTCCACTTATCTAAACAACATTCTTTTATTTTTCTCTTTATAAAAGACCAGGACACAACTTTTTGAATAGATCTGCTTAATTCTGCACCCTTTTTTGCAGCTGAATCAGCCAATTCATTGCCATGAATATTCATATGAGCAGGAACTCAGTGTAAATGAATTATCAGCTTTGATGCTCTTCTCTTTTGAATTTTCAAAACAGAGTTTAAGATCAGTTCAACATTCATTTAATCATTATTAATCTGACTATTTCTAAGTCTTTTTAAAGCAGCTTGACTATCAGAGAATATCCATGCCTCTTTCAAACTATTTTCTCTTTTCTGAGATTTTATTTCTATGAGTTTGAAAGCGTTCACTATTGCAAATAGTTCAGCATCAAAGACTTCAGATTCACAGCCTAGATTCCAGAAATCTGAGATAAAATTGATATTATCTTCAGTATAAGCAATGCCTGCGTCTAATCTATTCAGGTTCTCATTCTTTGAGCCATCTGATGTTTACTGTAGTGATCTGAGTGAGTGAAGAGAGACAGTATAATGTGTGACATAGAATTATCAAAGATGAAAGCTGCTGAATCTAGTCACTAAACACTGTATTATATAGAGATCATGTAAGAGTAGTAACTAGCAGACAAAGAAAAAGTGTAAGAAAAGAAAAGAGATAATGAATTAATCATTAACTGTAAAAATCAGCTGTAAAAAGACAAAAGTTATTATACACATCTCATTCATTTTTATACATGACATGTTTAATCTATTTTCAATGCCATGTTATCTGAAAAACATCAAAAACAAAGAAAATCTCAAAACTTAAAATCTATAAGAGATTTGAGAGCTATAAGCTATTCTTATAATAATGCTGTACATGTCTCTGATTTCTCTACTGCTCTGTGTATAACATTAATATTATTTATTGCAAGATTGACTGAAATGCCAATATAGAAATGTGTATGTGTATGTGTAGAAAAATTGAAGAAGAGTATGAGACTCACAGAATCAGAAGTCATAGAAGAAAAGATAAAGATGAAAGAAATGAAAGAAGAAGAAGACACAGAATCACACAAATAATGACAGAAGTCACTCAGAGTTAAATACTTATGACTCAGTATATACACAATCTTCTTCACAGAGAAGGGAGAGAAAGTGATGGAAGAAGCTTGAGAGCAGAAGAGAGTAGTCTCAGTAATGTTATCATCTTCAATTAAAATGACCTCTGATGCCAGAGCAACTAAGAACTATTGTTAGTAGATAAAACTGTAAAAACAAGAGTAACAATTATTGAATAAACACTCACTGACCTTAGAATTGTACATGTAATTACAACATGTATAAGGCTTCTCAGAAAAAGAGAGAGAGACATAGAGAAATACAGAAAGCAGAATACAGTGTGTGAACAGCTCATTCTCATAATAACATCTCAGATAAGATATACAAGCCTCACATCTACAGATGTAAAAGAGTATGATATTCATATTCCTGTTTCTGAAAACATGGATATTCTTCACCTGTATTATGAAGTCAGATGACAGATGCTAGAGAATAGACTGCTACAGATCTATCATCTCAAAGAAATTCATCAGAGTGAATGTACACATAATATTGAATTTAATAATTGTGAAAAGTTTCTTGATATCTGTGAACATCACAACTTTATGTATAATAAAACTCATAATAATTTTCTCTAAGAATAGGAAAATCAGCATTAGAAAGAAAAGATGAAAAAGAAAAAGACTTACAATCTTGATACTGTTGAAGCAAGAGATGATTCTCTGATATAAATAAATAATTGTCTTATTATAAATATTTAAAATGAATGTAATAATCAGTGTCTGTGACTGAGCTTCAGATAGTCATATCATATGCAGTCTTTGTATAATAAATTATTTTAGAAGTTGGTAAGAAGAGTGAGAGTGTACATACTGAGAAATGTAATTCATTAAGTCTATATAATATCTTCTTGAAATGAGAAGAGCTGATAATGAAAGCAGAGATAATAAAAGCAGAGAGAGTAGAAGTAGTGAGAGTGAGAGT